TTTTAATATAGAGTAAACTAATAATACTTTTTTTAACTAAATTTATAAATATTTAATAAAACTGAAATTAGTTATTAAAAGTTTAATATATATATTATTAAATAAGTAATAATAATTATTAATTAATATCTCTGAAAATTAATAACTGATTTGAAAAAAGAAATACAGTGATTAATTAATTATAAAAAGTTAAAATATAATTAATTTAAAATGTATTCTGTAAATAATTAATATCTATAATTTAAAAAGTAAATCTGAAGTTTTTAATACTGAATGTAATAAGCTGTATCTGATTAATTATATAAACTATTCTATTACACTTTATAGATTTCTACTGAAGCTCTGATTCTCAGTCACTGATTCTTAGCTGAAAACTCATAGAATTTCTATTCTTCTACTCTGAAGCTTCACTGTGTATGTATATAAATATTTACTTTAATTACTGATTCTTACTCTCTCTCTTTCTTTTTCCTTTTCTAATGTTTTTCACTTTGTTATATAAGATCTATATATTATACCAATCTATTCAGTGTAGACCTCTTATACTTGAAAAATATTTATTATCTTCTTATTAGAAATGATTACTCACTGAGATATCTGAACATGTAATAATGTGTAAGAAATAGAGAAATAAATAATCAGTTAAGTGAATACTGAGTTCTCAGATAGAAGCTTACTTACTAGTTACTCTGACTCTGCAACAAGATCTTACAAAGAGAATATTTCACAGATATTACATATCTGATGAATAATATAACTATGTCTAATAATAATATAAGAGAACTCTTGAATGTGAGTATAGACACAGTGTCACAGTGACTTTGAGCAATATTGAAATTACAACAACAATAAATAGCTGAAATGCATATGAATTAACAATGTCAATATGAGAAAATTCAACAATTAACTCAATAAGAAACTACTGCAATTTCAACACTGATAGAATTGAATATAAACACAATACAAGTGCTGAAGAAACACTTAGATACTTCTGTATATTTTAATACTTCTAATCTCACTCTCTACTCATTATGAAGATTGAAAATGCTTGTGAAACTAAGTATACATAAAGATGTCATCAGTTCACTAATCAATTAAGATTGATATATTAATGAATAATTGAAGAATTGTATAAGACAGAAGTTTTATTTATAAATAAAAGCATGTAAATCAGCATTGTAAACATCTAATAATATTATCAAACATCTTGATGTTCTATTCTAAGACACTGCTATGCAACAGAAAGTATTAAATTGATTACAGAGTATCTAATAGAGAAACACTTCTCTTACAACATTTATCTCTGACTTTAACATCAAGATTCTAGAAGCAGGTGATCAATCTTGAAAGAATTAAATGAAGATTAGTAAGCTTAAGAAGACATTAACTTTCACACTCTTACAGACTTTTATAAGTTGTAAGAGGCCTACGCTGAATAGATCAGTATAATATTGATAGGTCTTATATAACAAAGAGAAAAATGTTAGAGAAGGAAAAGAAAGAGAAAGTATAAGAATCAGTGATTAAAGTAGATATTTATACATATATGTGATGATGTATATAATGGGGCTTCGAGGCAGAAGAATCTATACGCGTTTATGACAGCTGAGAATTGATGATCAAGAGTAAAGTGGTTGAAATCTGTGAAGTGTAATGAAATAGTCTATATGATTGATCAGGCGCAGCCCGCTACATTAGTCCCTCTCTTTCAGAAGCAGTTCTCATTGATCAAGAGCCGCTGTTTTGAATAATGCAAAACTCAGAGTTCAGATTGATTGATTATAGCTGACTCATTTCATGAGATATTTTCAGCTGCAGCTATGAGATCTCTCATTGAGAATATTCTCAATCTCTCACTCAAGCTCATTATCTTCTTCTATGATGTCTGGCAGCTGCCAGTTAAAAGTCAGTTAAGAAGAGAACAGATCAGTGACAGCACAGCAGAGCAAGCTTGTATGAAAGACATTATGAATCTCTGATAATATGTCAAGATAATAGTTATAACTACTTAGAACTTCTATCACTTTATACTTGATATAGCAGTAATTCAGTGTATAAGATGAATATGTAATCTGTATATTCTTAAGGTTCAATTATATCAAGTCTTCTATCTTATATTATTCAGTGAGATCTTGATGAACATTGATTTAATTCTCTTAATCTTGTTTCACAGTTGTTATAAAGGCCTCTGCTCAGTCATGAATATCTCAGAGCTTTATTACTATATTATCAGTGATCTGAATCAGACTGCAGAGATTTAGTGTGAACTGTGTAATCTCTAGAAGATTCAACATCTTCATGTAATAACTGTATATAAGAAAGAACAGACTTATATCTGTTGAAACAGTATCTTATTCATTGATAGCAATCTCTGTATATAGAAGCAGATCATATCAATTATCTGATAAGTGATTACAGAACTTACAGAGATAATTCTTTACAGTCTGAATTGTTCATTCTAATGCATTATTAATCTCAGAGTGATAGATAGTTAACAGATAGTATATAATCTTGAGAACTTAACAGATTCTTGTTTAGAAAGTACTTACAAATTAACAGCTCTGATCTGATACTATAGATCTGATAATCATACATCTGATAGACAGACTCTGTAAGAAGACTTCAGTGACTTATTCAGTATTTATCTTATTATAAGATTTTAATATTACATTTTTACTTAAGTAATTCATAATAATCAGAATATTTCTGCAACTCTTACTCTCAGAGATATTAATAGTAAAGTTAATTATTATATCTCATCAGATTCTATCAGAGATATTAAGTAGTTTCAGCAGATATTTTCTACAGTTCTTTGATAAGATGATAAAAGAATAATGATTACAGTTTCAGATGAAGTATCTGATGCTGTTTAATATCTCAGATCAGTAGAACTCTCAGAAGATCATTCTATATAGATATTCACAGTCTGAATAATCAGTTATATATAAATCATGCATCTCTTGCATTATTCAGATGTGTAAGAGTTCAGAGTGAGAGACTCAGCATTATTTATGAAATTGTAGAGTATTATTATCATTGATTGAATATTCTGAGATATTGATTCTTATACATAGTTCTGAGAGAAATTAAGATACTGCTTGATATACTGCTTCAATGAGTGTTTAAAGAAGTTCATCAGTTTAAGCTGTTATATATTATAATTTATTCAGTGTAGATCTGAAGAATGTTCTGATCAGTGAAGTGTATATAGTGTTATAAGTGATCTCATTATAATTAACTAATATCTTTGAATTCAAGAGTCAGAATTCTTAATTCATTCAGTATTATTATTATTATTCTTCAATTATAGATGTATGCAGTTAGAGACTATAATATCTATCTGAGAACTTTTAGTTCTCAGGGTTTT